GGCACGCCACTGTTGGGAGGGGGGGGGGAGCTTCCCGAATGACTGCACAAGTTTCCCGAGAGGATGAACGCGGACGCGGACGCCGCCGCCGTACCTCCCCTTCCTCCAGGCTAAAGGCCCTCGCCCGTTGGAGGACGTCGGCGTCATGGTGGCGTGCAACAACATCCGCTGGGTTTCATCTCAAAAGCCCATGTTTGGCTGTGAACGAACGTCTTTAACAAGAAAAGCCTTCTGCTGTCGGAATTCACTGGCATAGGCGAGTAGCCGAGTGACACTTGGCCTGTGAGGAGGGTCCCATTAGAGGGGTGACCATCCCTAATCAATGCAGCGGCTTCCGTTTGGGCTGGCGGCGTCTTTAGGTCGGCTGGGCGGCAATGCGTCGGTATTCGATAAGGAGTGCTGTTCAATTTTTCCTCTGTCGCCTCGTAGGTTCTTCTAGAGGACCCTGCTCGGATGGCGCCTCCCCCTCCTGACCAGCGCCGCCCAGGACGTTCAGGGCGACTACAATCTCCGCTCGGCATCGCTCGGGCTGCTGCTTCCCTTGCGCCCCGCCTGAGAGCTGGGCGCCGCGCCGTGTCGACACACGAATTATTGTGCATTTTGCTCGCCAAATAAGACAATCGTTGACGGCAGTAAAAAGACTCCCCTGCTCTCTCTCCTCTTCTTTTTCATCTTCCTCCCCGCATCCGCTCTGCTGCTGCTGGGCCCTTCTTGCGCGCATTTCCACCGAACTTTGTGGCGCTTCCCCAAAAACTTGCGAGCGGCGGCTTGTGTTATTCCATTGATGCTTTTGCAGCACGAAATAATGCAGACCCTTCTCCTCCTCTCCCGGCGCCGCCCCTCTCTCCGTCCGCAATCACCCGACGGGGCGCCCGCCCCCTCCGCCCACCCACGTGCCCGCCGTCGCCCGCCGCAGCTGCCAGGAGGAGATGTCCTGTCGTCCTGTAGTCGCGTATTATAAATTCCCCCGAAAAAGCAAAACGCCGGCAGACGCTCCTTGCTCTGGCTCCGCAGGCTCCCGCCATGCTCCCGCTGCGCGCGCGGGGCGCACGGCAAGGCACGCGCTCCAATTAACATTGCTGCGGGCCGCCTCCTGCGCGCCGTCATCATCCGCCCCGTCCCGTCCCCGTGTGCGGCGTTTGGAAAATCTGTGTGTGCTCGCCGGACGCACACAAGTGATGCGCGCGCCGCCGCCGTCTTCGGCATGCTCGTCCCCCCGGCCCCCAAGCATTTTTCTGCTGCAGTCCTTGGGGAGCCGCGCGCTCCTGGCCCTGGCGTCCTCCTGGCGGCCCTCTGCAGCATCCGGGGGCCGCTGCTGCTGCCAGGAGGAGTTCATTAGCCCCTCTCCTGCCTGCCCCGAGCGTGATGCTGTTCACTTGTTCACGCTATCTACGCCGCCGCCGCCACCCCCTATAAAGAATAGTCCCGCACCCTGGGCAGGGACAGGACGCACGGGGGCCCTTCTCGGCTCGGCCCTATCTTCCCTCATCCTCTTCTCCCGACGAATTCCGGTAGCCACGGCAAACACACCGACAAACAAAGGCCCCGCTGGTGGCGGGGTGGGGGGTGGGGGGCTGCATGAGGTAGGTCCTTGTGGGTGTGCCACGTGTGGTCCACAGGAACGGAAGGGGGGAGGGCAACGCTCCGGTGAGATATTACATATTTTTCACACCGCCTCCGCAGTCAGAGAGTTTCGTTGAGGTGCGAAGGGTTGTCCACGGAGTGCGTGCGTTCGTTGGACGGCGCGGAACTCGACCGCCTCAAAGGGTTCTCGACGACCCCCCGCATCTCTCTCCTCTGGCCTAATCAGGCACGTCACGTTCCTTAGTATGAGTTTTTCTGTAAGGGGGGTATGTCACACTTTTCACCTACGGTTTGCATTTGCAAGTGGTCTTCCCTGGTGACCTCAGTGCGCGCTCAGCGTGGATGCATCAACGTGGAGAGAGACTATCTCTCTAATCAACGTGGGGAGGCCGAGGGAAGCCGTTTGCCGGGCGGCCCGAGTCACCAGTCACCACAGAGGCCGCCGCCTCCAATGCCACGAACCTTCGGGTCCTTTGAGTCCCTTCGGCACACCGGTACGAGAAAAGTAAAGGGGGAGGGCGGCGGGGGGGTCTGATGATAGGCGCCGCGGCGCTGTCCCCGCCACGCCACGCCACGCCACCCGGACGGCCCGGGGTCCTCCGGGTCCTCCGGGTCCTCCGTCGCGACCACCGGGCGGCACGCCGTTGACGCCTCTCTCGACCGCAGACCATGCAGACGCGGTAAACGCACCAGCCGCAACGCAGGTGCGTCGTGTGCCGACGTGAGAGGGTTTGTCGAGATGAGTAACGTCGCGCAAGGCGGTCCTCGAGCACGCCGCCGACGACGCGTCCACGCCATTCGCTGCTCAAACTTTCCGCGGAAACACGGCGGCGGAGCCTCGTCGTCACTTTTGCAGTTTGCGACAAAGGAGGCGGGGCCATATCGATTTGCATCGAGTTTGAATAACTTATTGGGAGATGACCCACATCCCAGCTTGATACTACAACGACATCGACCCCCCTGCTCCTCCCCCTCGGCGCCGACTCCGCGGCAGCCGCCCCCAGCAGCGCGCGGGGGAGGGCGCGTCGTGCTCGCGTGATGGGACGTGGCGTCGCGTGCCGCGGGGGAGGTTTGTGTTGCCGGGCCTCTCGCTGTCGTGGTGCGCGTCCGGATCGATGGTCGGGCTGCCGAGGGGGTTGTTGTCCAGCCGTCTGATTCAGAAGAAGAGCGCTCAAGAGGGTCTCGCCAATAGTACCTGCCCCATGAGTGCAACAAGGACGGAGCTATACGGGAGGTTATAGGAGAGTCCCTGTTGAACGCTCTTCTGAATCAGACGACAGGATAGGGTCCCATCGTTAGTCCAGGAGGGGCGGTGGCTGCGAGCCCCCTCACTGGCCTCGGCCGCGGCGTGTCCTGGACCCCCGGCGACGGGGACGAGACGAAAGAGGGCGAGAGGATGGCCCCGGCCCGGCAGGCGGCGGCGCGGGCGGCGCCGCAGGGTCCAATATACCCAAGAGACCGCAGCTTTTGCGAATTTGCGAGCCGTGCGTGAGCCCCGCGACCAACGCTGTGCGTGTCTTGTGGTCGGGTGTGCTAGGTGTGCGGGTGAGACGCGACAATAATTAAACTGCGACAGCCCCGACTGAGCAGCGCGCAACAGCCCTTGGAAGGCGCCGGACTTAACGGAAGTCTCCATAGCTCCAGTCGGTCGCCAGCTGTACTCCAACTTGCTGTGTCCACACAAGGGGCGGGTCTTTCCCACGGGCCTAAATGTCTCAGGGACGCGCTGGCCGGGACGTATTCATCCCTCACGGCCGTCATGTTCGTGTCCGCAGTGGGACGCGGACGGACTGCCCCGGAGAAACAGGACGGGCATCATTAGGAGAGCCAACCGCCTCGGAGCTCGCGCACGGAGTGGAAGTACTTCTGC